GGGATTAAAACTGATTCAGAGACACTTGTGTGGACAGAGATCGTTTTAGTTTCGGAATAAGGAAAATGTATGGCCTCATCCTGCAGGAGCTTGGTTGGTTGTCCGTTAGTTTGTCACCAGGTCTGACTGCACTTTATTTAACCTGCAGACATTCTGTCAGTCTCCCTCTCACCTATGGCTTCCACTTTGTTTGGTTTTGGTTCTAATTTGATTCATTTCCTTTCACTTCTTTTTTAGTGAAAACTCATGTGCGGGGTCTTTTCTTGTTTGTCCAGACTTGAGTTGTTGTACAACAAGTTTATGGCCAGAAAATAAAAGTCACACAGACGTTGAAGGAGGATGTCAGTAGACCCTAATCATGTCTGAACAGAGATGGAACAAACAAGTCGTCTAACAGCTTCTTGTGACTGATTTTTGTTTGAGTCTATTTCTGCCTGAAAAGAAAGACGGAAAAAATAAACTGAGATTATTCCTAAAAGTCACATGATTAAAATGACTCTTCCTTAAATGTCACACTTCTTCAGTACAGCGATCAACAAAGATTGTGATAGTTTGAAGTCATTAATTCCTCTCTTGGGTTTTTTCTCTTTTCTTTGCTCTTCGGCTCTGCGGTTTCTTTTTCCTTGTCCAAAAACTTTCCAAACTCTTTTGACAAGTCGCTGGAAAAGAAAAGAAACTATTTATGACTTGTTTTCATTCTCAAATTGCCCATGAGCCTAACTATGATTTCATGAATAATGCAGCAAACCGAGTCTCAGTCTCAGATGATGATGCCAGAGACGTCATGACGGACTTTGATTATTTCTTTCCACATATTAAATCATGACCAATTCTTACATGCTAATGGCCCCCTCTTGTGGTAATATGTTGTCATTGCAATTTTGCACACTATACAGGAAGCGCATCATGAGACCATGATGCAAAACAAATTTTCTTATTTGTGCTATGCTTAGCTTTATTCATGTAAGTATAATTAGGCTGGTTTGATATAATTTCCTGGTTTCTTCTGCTGAAAGGTGAGATCTATTGTCACAGGCATAAATAGTGCATATAAGTATTTAAATAAACAATTTGTACTATTATGTTATTCTTAGTTTTTGTAAAAAGTCAGATTTTATCTTAAACATTTCTAATCTTATCGGATCATATCCTAAACATGCAGATTGTAGCTTTCTTCAACGTGATACTGAAAATCTCCAAAAGGGGGCAGTACACATCAATTCAGTATTTACTACAGGTATCTTCTAATCTGAACTTTTCCTCCTGTTCTAAATCTTTTCTTAAGATAATAGAAACTGTTTGCTGCTGATGCTGGACTCTTGTTTTTTACTTGCTGACATAGATCATTAATTATTCCAGAGAATCCTAAATTCAAAACAAAGGCCTCCCGATCCGTTAACCTTTCATTTCAAGTGAATTATAACTTCTAACTAAGCTATCGCCAGATGTAGATTTGCTTTTTCTTCAGTGTTGGCTTCCTCATAATATGAAATAGCTTTGTTATTTTTGATTTAGCTGCCTTGCCTTTAAAGATATCTGTTGCTGATCAAACACGTCGAGCTGTCAGTGTTGATGTACAACTCTCTGGAATATTTCAGAACTGAAGTGGACATTTTCTCTTTGTCCATTTCCAGATTCAGCCTTTCAGATGTCGAGCCATGAAAAGTTGTGAAGCTTTAGAAATGAAAATGATCCTGGAAAGTGGAGTTGTTGAACTATAAAGAGCTCTAAGCCAGTGGAGTGGGGGCAGAGGGTGCAGTGGATACCGCTGGCAGTCGCTGGTGAGTCAGTCGGAGACTTCAGTGGCCTCATGTACCCCAGACCTCTTATTCACCCAGACGATGACAGAATATTTTCGAGCGATGTCTCTAAGAATTATGTCAGTGATGCTGTGCGTTGCAATGGAAGTGGAAAAACATAGCAAAGGAAATATTGTTCCAATTTAATGATGGTTTCACACTTGTACTGTGTGAGACATCACTCTGAAGACAAACAAGAGTAAGAGTTTTTTACTAAGATTTTGACATATCCAATAGTTTCCTCATACAGGTCAATGGAGGTGAATCAAATCTTTAAAATGTTCCTCACAGTACTGAACATTATAACAGTATAACATCAATAAGCCCCTGCTGCTTGAAATAGCTCACAGACCTTGTTGAAGACAATACCAGTGTTTTCTCTTTAAAAGGAAATTGTTCGATATGGAAACTGCACGATGACGTCTGAGGATTATCCTCTGGAAGTGTTTTCTGAGAAATTATACTGCACCTGATGTTTTAAAGTATATTTTGTTCAGAATCCAGTATTAAATGTGTTTTTCATGAAAACAACACATTTTTTTCCTCATCTAAAGTACCAACAGACTGTACACAACAGAACAGAAGTTCATTCTTGACCCTAGAAGTAGAAATAGTGAAAAATGGGATGATGGCTGCTGGTGTTTTTGTGACTACTTTCTTTTCTATGCAGCATCTCCTGTAGTCCTTCTCCTTTTCCTTTAGATAATAACATTTTTTTGGAACTTTTGTTTTATCACCTTAAATTGTTTATTTTTCAGTCACCACCTTTAGCTCACATGAAAACACCTCATCCAGCTTTATTCCCATATAAACGCTGTGAGGCCCAGATGAGAAGTCAGTCATTCTGACAGTGACGTCAGGTTCATTCTCAGTGCTTTCATTTAGTGGTGGTAACCTTTTATTTACACTTGGACCAGGGATTGTGTGTTTAAGTCAGGCATGGACATGGGTGTTCCCTCTTGATGTGATGCTCTCCCTGGGGCCCAGCCTTAAGGCCAAACTAAAGTCATGAAATCATTGAGTGTTGAGCATCTTGGCATCTCGGGTACCCATATACCCGAGGATTTACCATTCGTTTCTCTAGGAAAACACAGGAGTGGGGAAGAAGAAGTGAAAAAAGAGGGAGTGGGAGGTGAGGGAGAGCTCCGTCCAATGGAGCCAGGGTAAGAATTTATGGTCAGGAAGAGCGATGAATGTGTAATTTACGGTGCATACTCTACCATTCCCCCTGCCCTCCCCTTTGGTAATGAGAAACAGCTGTTTTGTTGTAGGCCCAGGACATGGTATACCCCCTCCCTTCTGGCTATGACACACCATTAGTTTTTATTTCTGTCTCTGCTTTTACGACCCCTGCCCAGGCGCCAGCATTTGGCCAGCGATTGGGACCATGACACCATCTAAGCTCGTCCACCTCCCAAGATGGCCTCCTAGCCTTGGAGAGGGCCATAAGACCATATCATACCATCACTGCTGAAGTAGGCAGCATCACGCTCCCAGCAGAATATTTTGAGGTTTTCATTAAATCCTGGTCAGAGAATAAGAAAATGAATGCGTGCTGTGGAAAACACAAAACTGTCTGATATTAGTTTTAACGACCAACATTTTCCTCCCTTCACATCTAATTACGTTAATTACTGTTTTCTTATAATAGGTCATTTTTGTTGTTCCATTGGGCCTCACTTGTTTAAGTCTGACATTACAGATGTGGAAGCAGCAAGTCCAGAAAAACAGTTGTCATCCTGACAACAGTTTAGATTATCCACCGATAATAATCTGACCCAATATGTGGGTAATGAATGGATGATTTTGCAGGGAACTGTATGTGAGTGTGAGCTTAATGCTGAACTTCTAAGTCAGTCTGTAAACTTTGATGGAAGTTTAAAGGTGCTACATGTAAGTCCTCTCTTACTAGGAGTGGGTAGTGGTGGTGAATGTTTGCCCAACTCTCCACTCATCACTAGTTCTTGAGAGCAGACTGGAAGTTACAGTTCCAAGTCAAAATTTCGAATTCTGAGCTACGCGATATAATGGACTGTGACTGTAGCCTACAGGCTAACTTTTAGCATGCTAACCAAGGGGCAAAGGCAGAGATAGAGGCAAAGAAATTATAGACATAAAACCCCACGATTTGTTTGTAAACAGCTGTTAATGCCTATGTTAGCTATGTAGCTATAGCAAAATCTTACATATTAAATGTTTTAAATTGGCAATTGTAATTTTACCATTGCCTTTGTTGTTTTTTTTCTAAATACATTTGTAGGGTGGATTTGTTTATTGATATATACAAGAGAAGCTGCACGTTCTGCCATGTTAGAGAAAGCAAAAAAAGTCCTGGATCACCTCCACAAAATGTCATGGAAATCAGTTCAGTAGGTTCAGAATAAACCTGCTCAAGTAAAGAGACAAACAAACACAGATGACAACTGAACCTCCTCGGTGGGGGTTATCACACAAGAACAAAATCAGCGTATGAATGAAGTTTCATCTGAACTTTATTTAGGCTTTCACCGAATAAGCTATACATGATGATACTAATACCTTTTATGTTCCAACATATTCAGTATCACAATCCGCAGTATGAATGAATAACTGTAGCATGTAACTTCTCCTGAAACTATCGAGTGGAAAGCAAAAAGACCCATGGAAAACATTCTAGACATAGAAAGAAAAGAAATCTCTATCTGCATTTTATGAAGCTTTTGGATTATAAATGTGTAAAATGCTTTGATTGTTCTGAAACTTGAGCAGTAGGAAACTAAGTTGTGCAAACTCTTCAGACCCTGTTGCAAACATGATTACTGAGCAGCTGATGATTTGATGGCTTATATAACAATCAGTGGCTTGTAAGTTACTGCATATTTGATATATCACCGTGCATTTATGTTTTCTTCCTCTTGATATGCACACCCTATTGCTTCGATCTGTGAGAACAAGATTCACACACATGTGCGACAACAAACTTGATTCCGTGCAGAAATGCATTCAAAATACTCAAACGACCAGACTTTAGGTAGACACACACACACACAGACACACACACACACACACACACACACTCTTGCCTGCACGATGGCACACTCATGCAACCTTGTACCATGCAAATATTTATGTTTTTTAATTCCCATTTTTTGTGCCAAGTTATTTTCTGATACATTAACTTTTGAACAAACCACTAAGATATGAAATGGCAAAAGTCGAGCTGAGCTCACTGTGATCCTCCTCCACGTCTTCTCTTAGGCTTGTTTTGTAGTAGAATCCCTCGTCACAATTTTATACAGACGACCTCCTGTCCTCACCAACCACAAATAATTTCCAGTGCCTTTTCTTTTTTTGACTTAAAACTATTCACTGTCTTAACATCTTGTACAGCTGTTATGAAAATCCATCTGCCACCTCTTACCAACACGAAAACAAATCAAGAACATGTCGCGATTAAAATTGGACTGTGAGAAATTGAGGGAGCTGAGGAGGCCTTTCATTCATTGTCAGGTTTCCAGCTTTTAATGTTGCATGACGGACGTGAAGCGACATTGTTCTGTTCATGATGCTGAACCACAGTCCTCACCAGGGGTTTGCTTTCAACTCTCAGAAAGTCACCAAGTTCATCTATTCAAAGCGCTCTGGAAAGACTCTTGCGTTGCAGCAATCCTCTTGTTCTCTTTGCATCTTCTGCAACACGTAGCAGCATTAATCCATCAATTCCTTCACTTTGACCTTCATCTATGGCGGTCACAGCTGGGCGAGGCACTGTCTCTGCTTTTCTCTCAGCCCCACCGAGCACGCACTGACGATTAGGAGACAGAGCTGGTTGTGATGCTCGCAGCAGTCGTTGTCCTGCTCTGGCCTTTTCTCCTCTTCCCGCCGCCGCCGCCGCCACCTCCTCCTCCTCCTCCTCCCGCTCCTCCTCCTCCTCCTCCTCCTCTGCCATCTTTTCCTTCTCGTCCTCGCCCGCGTGTATTCTCCCTCTCTCTGCGGTTCGTATCGTCTTGTGGGTCTCCTTTATTCTTCCCCTCTGAAATGTGAAAACATAGAAAACGTGATTCAAAGGTTTTACTCTGACGTCTGTCATCACTGTTTGTTGAAGAGCCTCTACTTGGCTAAGCAGCATAAAAATGAAAAGCATCAGAGGGGCGATGCATGTGCCCCACAATCAGGCAAAGCCAATTCTGTTATATTGTGCTAATGTCATTTCAAAGTATATAAATAACATTAGATTATAAATGTTTGGTCAATCTAAATAAGCTGTGGATTTTAACGCACAACTACACTATATGACATAATTTTCTGTCATGATGATGTCATTCGTACCATATGATGGAATGACATCATGTCCAATGATCCTGCATCATGCAGAGATATCTCTGAATTTTTTGAAGTATGCATGATGTCATTTTCTGACTTCTTCAATAACTCCACATACCGTATGACGAGGAATCCTTTTCTGATCGACATAAGCTTCAGCTTGTCTCTGCACCCCTATTATTTGTGGAGATATTTTGGAAAATGTATTTTATGGATCATATTTTTTTGTTGACCTTGACATTTAGTCTTTGTGTCGTGTTTTTGGTGAGTTTGGTGAAAATCCACAAAAATCTTGCTTCTGGCTACGCCATTGTGCAGAGTACAAGAAGACATGAAATCCTTTGAGATGAGAATGGAGGATACAGGATGTTTGTTGGGTAAGAACAGTTTAGAATCATTCACAAATGCTAAAACATAATGTTGGGACACAACATAGCTGGCTTTCAAGCGAAAGCACCATACCAACTATCAATACAATGCTAAAGACACACACACGAAATAGAATCAACATCCAGATAAAACCATGTTAGCCAACTCTGCCTCCACTTTCACATTCACAGATATGACCTTTTAATTTTGTGTCTCAACAGCTACTTCTTTGTCCAACATAATGCCTGACTGTCTCTTCACAGCAGAATTCACACCTGTCACTCTTGCGTGGTTAACGTCTCCACACGACCCATTCAGAAGAGGGTAAGAGCTGCTGTTGGGCTGCAGAGGAGCTCATGTATAGACGCTGAGAGCACTTACCGCCGTCAAACTACATCAATTTCTGTCACTTAAATCACCTTGAAATCACTTCTGGCATAATGAGTTAAACATTGTCAAGGGCCCACTAATGGCCCATAAGGACATAAAGAGCTGTCACAAAGTGGAAGTGGACATGTGTCTAGTGTCAGACGGCTATTGTTTAGGCAGCACTCAGAAGTATTATGTTTTGTATATTTGTGGGAGTACAGTTACGCTGGGGGATGTTTGTTATGAACTTGTGTGCCGAGAAACTCTGCACATCCTAGAAACCGAGTGAACACGTGCCAAGGGCTGGACAGTGTTCAATGCGCAGTTGACAACAGCGCGGCTTATGGCGCCACCGTGTTTGTCTACTGCCGTGGAGCAATGACTTAAGGTCTGCGTTTATTTCCCTAAAAAAGCATTTTCAAACTCGTCGTACAAACAGTTATGGTTCCCTGGCTTAAACGCAAATGAGGAAAAAAAAGCCAAAGAGCCTCAAATTGCGTTGTTTCCCGAATTTCACCAAAAACAATCTTTCTGCACAGCCACTGAAAATCATTATCTGGTGATTTGATGGAGCTGAATGTGTACAGACCTGACACAGAAACATTTGCTCACCGCAGGTCCATGCAGAGTCACAGTTGCTTCACTCGCAACTTAAAATCAAAAGGCTCAGTTGCACACAGTAGTGCACAAACAGGAATAACTCGTCTTTTTGAAAAACCATTAGCACAAAAATCATAAAAACATCACTCACGAAAACTTGGAGTTTTGGTCTCAAATGGTCCGATTTTACGTCCAGTATGTTTCATTTGTGTCCTCTTGAAACAATAAACATATTTTTTAACTTTTTTAATGGCCTCTATTCAAACAACCACTTAATATTGAGTGGCAATAATTTCAATTTAAATCAATGAGGTAAGATAAGTGGAGGCTGAGTGAAGTGAAGGGTCCTCACACACACTCTGCAGCATCTGAGCTGCTGTGCTTACTGTGTGAGGACTTAATTACTTCTCTAACAAATTACTGACCGAGCCAAGAGAGGGAGACTCCATCAGTTAATGACAGCTCTGATTGCACCTCCGCTCCATCCAAACTAAACAATTGTTCCTGACAGACGCAATAACACATCCCGAAAATCCTGTTTTCGCGTGAGACCCAGTTGCGGAGCTTCAGGGAAAAGGGGAAAAGAATCTGCAGCCAAATCAACATAAAGCATGAGATCTGCAGACCACTAAATCACCAGTGTTGTACAAGGTCTGTCCCGTGTTTTATATAGCTCGCAGGACAGCCAACTCCCACACGAGTCCACAGTTGCTCTCAGTGTTTACCCACATTAGCCTCACAGAGGAAGTGGCAGAAATATGCATTTTAGTTTCTAACGCATGTATTTAGCCAGAGCCGGCCCTAGCCTTGGTGCCGCCAATATTGTTGAGCATTGCCATTACTTGATCATTCTACACTGTATATCTGACACACCAATTGTTCATTTTATTCATTGTAGCTGTGCAGCTTATACCAATGCCAGCCTTTATGCTCCTATGGTTTTGAATTTTAATGAATGGACACACATGACGTCTTTCAGACCTAATGCAAAAAAGAAATGGTGTCGATCCGAAATGACCAGATCAGCCTTTTATTACTCCATTGGTAAAAATAACTACTCTCACTCTATCCATAGTCATAAGAATGAAATAAGAATTGTCCTTTTAATGAAGATCCAATGGCTGATCCAGTGCCCTGGTTGTTGCTGCTGAATCCATAATGACATAAACACTTCATTGAGTGAAAGCAGTGAACTAGTGGAGACATTTGAATAGTTGTGACAGAAAGCAGATGTGAGCAGCAGTCAGGCTTTTGTGTGAAGTGCACGACCAACGTGCTTCAATCAGTCCACAACTCTTCCTCTCCTCCTATTATTAATAATTGTTTAACGCAAGGTATTTTCTGTAGTTTACCTAGTTACAGATTTTCTTGAAATGTAGCGTCTGAAGCTATTGTAGCTTCCTAAAGTCTCTTAAATGCATCACCTGCAAACTATCAGCAGATGCTGCTTAGCAGCTGCACACAGTGACACACAGTTTTCACAGATCTTGTGGCTAAGACGTAAACAGAATCACAGACTGTGGTGTACAGAGCGTAGCTGGGTATCCTTAGTGCGCATTCATGTGGGTGAAAGTGAGTCCCCTCCTGCTACAGCTGTTACAGCTGGTGTGGGGTACAAAGACAAGTAAATATTTGTAACAAATTATTGTATTCTATTTTTCGTATTATTATTTTAAAGGACAAACAGCGCCCACCAGAAGGTGGCACCGTAGGCAACCGTCTAGAAGGCCTATGCCTTTGGCGGCCCTGTTTTTAGGTATTTATTTAAAACAGGACTGAAATCCTCCTTGACGTCGGCAGTCGAGGGTTTCACCATCCACAAATCTATGACACATCACTCGTCAGGATAAGATATTTGACAGTTCCCAGAGTAGTACTTATAAAGCAGTATATAATATTTCACTTAATTCTTCCAGGATACAGATGTCAAATGTTCTTCTCATTTATGAAATTGTTCCGTCACAACCTGTTTAATGACGCTGAGCAATTACAAAACACGCCAGTTTCCTTCCCTGAAGACATCACTGATCTTTATGAGACAACGTCAGATCATGTTCTGTTTCTGAGATCCGAAGCCCTGAAAGAATTATCCAAGACAAGAGGATGGTGTCGGAATATGCAAGCCTCCTCCGTGTTTACGCACAAATATCCAAGCATATCATCTGTAACATGTTGCAACATCTGTACTGATGCCAAGACTGAGCAAATATTGTTACACAATGTTGCTGCTGTGGCCAAAATCCCCTAAGCGTGTCACCAACCAATAAAGGCTTTAAATACCGCTGCTTGGCAGTTCTCTACGTCTCTGTACATAAGTGTTTCCAACTTTGGTCAAAATTGGTACGTTATGCAAAACAGATTAGCATTTGGTGGCATTTGGAAAAAAAGAGTTATCCCTTTCAGCTCATGAAAACAATTCTTATAACTTAAATAAATAGGGTTGAAAACATTTTGTCAAAGATTTGTCATCTAAGCATCGCTGCTGGTGGATTCATAATTTCTTTGCCTCAAAAAAAAAAAAATTTCTATAATGTAAACTTTGGACCACCTGGACAGATGTTTAATTTATTAGCCTCATCAGCAGCTGATAAGCTGTTATGAAAGCCGATAATGGCCATCGACTGGTGAGAATGATTGTTAACCTGCTGGAGAGCAAGCTGCTGTGGGTGATAAGAGCCCAAGCAAACATGTCATGGCCGTGTAAACCTCACGCTTCAGCGGTCTTTAGAACAAATAGCTCTCCCCGGCTCTGATCACGCTCCAGCTCTGCAGTGTGTAATGCCCTTCATCTGCTTGGCTCGTAGATTCGGGTTTATTGTTTACATGCTGAGAAGTCAAGAGGTTCTGTATCCTTCTGCGAGCTCAGCCAAACCAAACCCAATCAACACGCCGTGGGTCACAAACACACTGGCGGGAATTCCGGCTTTTAGATGTTGAGTAACGGTTCCATCAGTCATCACATTAACTGGAGGAGACGTTTCATGAAGTACATGGATTTTACTGCGTCTTTATCTGTAATGTGATTATAACCGGAGTTTTGAATTCGTAGTGGACATCATATACTTGTTATTGTGCACTTTTTTTTTTGCCGTATTTATATTTGTGTTTACCTCTTGCACAGGGCGTCTTGATCACAACGCACTTCCTTTTTTCTGTCTGTGGAGCGCAGGTTTCTGAGGGCGGCGAGGCGTCCGAGCCAGCGACCTGCAGAAGCGGTGAGCGGACCCGAGACTGCGAGCCTTTCTTAAATCCACATGTTTTGTTCTTCTTCATGCAGGAACCCCACTGGCTCCACTCACCCAGTTTGCACGCGGAGGCACGCTGACCTGGGGGAAGAACATGGGACAAAGACTAATGCCGAGGGTGAATGGTTTACAGCTCCAGCATCTCAGATTTGTTCTACAGCTTTCCCGCCTGCTTTTTTACAGCTCAGTAGTTTTAGCACAGGATAATGAGTTTAGGTAATTTCCAAATCTGAAAGCAATCTTATGTTTTTGAGTTGAGATGGGCAGATTGAGGGGGTTTGCCATGAACCTGAAAATGTTCAAAACCATACGACTTAAGTGTGCTTCAAGACAAGAGCCAGTTTTTTAAGGTCATGTTTTAAATTCTCTGTGGACAAGCGGGGTCAGGTTTAAGCAAGCGATGCCAAAAAGTCAGTCCAGAGCTCGAGGTCTGAGCCAAGATGGCTGGGGAGCTCCGAATTTCACTGTTAATGATGTCGTTTCTCACTTATTTTCAACAGAAATAAAACCACACGGAGGAAAGACCAAGACATTCTGTTATTTTTCTCAAAGTGTTCTCCTCCCTTTTTTCCAGGCCAAAGAACCAAATTCAACCCGGCCTCTCAGATGAAGAGATAAGTGCACTTTAACTATAACGACAGGTAGATTTCATAGATGCTGTGTTTATGTTTTGAAGCTTGGAGCTTCTAGGTTACTCACCGACACACTCCATGGTCTCGTTGGCAGTGAGCTGGCCTGGAGGGCAGCTGACGTAACATCGGCCGCTGTGCGAATACAAGCCCTCCTTGCATTTTGTGCAAAAATTGCGATTGAAACACGCTTCACAGTTGTCTATTTTACATTCTGAAAGAGGAAAACAGTTTTCAATTAAATCACTCAAAAGTCATATAGATTCTGGAGAAATCTAATTTTGTATTGTTTATGTCACTGGTTTGTTTCTTTGTTGGTACACACACATAAGTCACTCTTTTGATGGAGTATTCATTGCATTCTGGCTCAAAAAGAGGAAATCAGTCTCCAGAGAAAGGAACTTTAATTGTATTCCCTCTGAGAGATTAATTGGTGATTAAACAATACAGGGTCTATATCGGGGGAGAAACGCTGTTCCCTTAAAAACACATGCACCACAGGCCTTATTTTTTTAGAATGTGGGTTTGAACAGTGCAGCCAGGAGAGCTTCTCTTCATTGGGCTTCTAGTGGGTTCATCCACACCTCAGACTCATTAGAAACCTCTGACGCACCAGTCAAACAAAGAGCTTCTTCAGATATGGATAATTACAAACACAGGAGGATAAAAAGCATACATCTTAAAAGACTCCCAAAAGCTTTGGTCTCGTCATGAAAGGCTTTTCATCCTTCATGTCATTCATTCCATCTGAATGAACTGAGCTCGGAACAAAACAGTGAGGAAGACCTGTAAATTTAATGTGTCTATATTTTTTTATATGGGGGGTTAATTCAGAACCAAACTCTACTATACTGCAGCTGGTCTGAATCCAAGGTCAGAAATGATCCAACACCAAATTTTACTTTAAGTCCTTCCCTCCTGCTCCCAATTACTATTTTAAAGCCCTTGACAGCTAAATTTGACAGTGCTGACGTTTGCAGCCCTATAATGTGAGGCAAATGTTGCTAACAAGGCACTGCGGGGTGATATGTATAAAGTCGGATGATTTGATAATAACCCAGGTTAGCTGCTGACGGCCTCTGAGAAGAATTTGGGAGGATATTCAGCCCTTTCTGCGAAAAAACAAATCAGGGCAGGGAAAAAATGCTACACTAAAAACAAGTTATTTGATTTGTTACAAATGATCTGGGAATTTTGATAAATTTACAAAACTCTCGGACACTAACACAGAAAATAATAAATTCTCGTCTCAAAAAAACAAAATACAGAACCGTCATCATTATGTGACAAAACAAAAAACAGCTCTTGAGTTTTAAATGATTTGAGGTTGTGTAAATTTAACAGAAAACTTTTATTACATCTGACAGATATTGGGAGGCAAAGGAATCAGAAGTCAAACAAAATGTGATGTGTTATGTTTCTCTTCCTGTGATAGTCATTTACTGCCGGCATCTGCCAGATATCTACACCCATATCACTGTCTTAAAGTAATGAATGTCATCAACATAATGTAAAACTGATGGTGGAAGCAGTCAACATTAATTTGATTAAAAGGAATATTATTTTATAAACATTTAACTGTGCAAAGGCTTATTAGATGTAATTCATACCCTCAACTTTCAGGTTTCAGAGAATCTTTTTATGACACAGTTAAGGATGCATCACAGTAAAATATGTGTAAAGCAAAAAAATCACAATTGGATTGTGGCCTGGCCTGAACTGTGCACATGAAGGCAAAACAGATACAGGCATCCTCCCAAAAATAGGAAAAACAACATCGCATTAGAACTGTTTTTGTTGGGATTTTGTTGCAGTCCTATTTTCTGCCCAAACTTAACAGGCTGAGGTGCTGGCACTCCTCGGCTTAAAGTGCAGGACCAAAGTATGTAGGTTTGGTGAGTGCCATGAGCCAAACCTGCCTATAACCATAAAGACGATTGTTCACTTACAGAAAAATGTAGCCACATTCCTTTTGTGCAGCAAATTTGCTGAATTTAGCATCTTTACAAAAGGGTAAGTGGTAACAACAGAAGGATTTCATCAAGTGGTCACTTATTTGCTTATTAGTGGCCAGATGCATCCTGTTAGTGAGCATTTGATAATAAGGTAATATTGTATAACTTATTCACTTACAAACATGAAAACTAGAGGCACAGATTGGTCCTAAAAAGAAATTTTATGAAAATTGAGAATAGTGAATTGATTAAATAAAGCTCCCTTTCTACATTCATATTTTAGGTCTGTTAAACAAACAAACTCACAACAAGACAGATGCACAAGACGAGAAACTAACAGAACATCTCTGTTGTCCTCTAAATAACCCCTCTGGACATAAACAAAAGAGGATGAGCCAGAGAGGATCAGATCTCATGCTCTGCACGTTTGATGGGAAGTCAGCTGTGAGACTGAGCTGTTTCCACCAACTGAACTTAACGATTCCAGATGTGTATTTACAAATCTTATGTGCCCACATACTGTGCACATCATGTTCATGTAACACTGACACTTGGTGGTGTCCCAGGGTCGAGAGTCTACAGCAAAAACAAAAAACTCACGGGTGCATCTGTTGTTGCCTTCTGGGTTCCTCATCCCAAAGTATCCCATGGGGCAGGAGGCAAGGCACACTCCTATCTGACGGATGTCATTGCGCTCAAGGAAGATGAAGAGCTTGGGCTTACATTTGATGCAGCCATTGTACTCAGAGCATCGGTCACAGCCTTTGGGGCAAGATGGTGGCCCCTCAGTGCTAACTGTGGAAACAGAAAGAAAGAAACAGGTAGATTTGCTCTGCTTGTGCTCAAACTGTGTGCTTGCACTCTGATATTTAGTTGCTTACACAATTTCCCTGCTCTCCAGCGTCAGCTCTTGTTGCTGCTCACTAAACCTGGCATTTTATTGGTTGTTGGTGATTTTGACTTGTTGCTCAAAAATATCCGAGCACAGAAGAAAAAAATCTGTAAATGCAAGGAGAAGAGCTGAAGCGCAGGAAATCGCAAGCAGGGTATATTTGAGTGTGAGCGGAGGGTTTTGAGTGAGAGAAAAAAATCTGAATGTAAAATTTATGAAAGTCTTGAAAGAACATGCTCTTGAATCAAGATTTAAAAAAAACACCCATAAACAGGCAGGTTGAGGTAAACAATAAAAAGAACAACATGGTTTACTAAAAACAGTTTCTTGCAAGATTTTTTTTTAATGAGAAAATAATAAAAGGCCTTTGTCAAATTCTGTCCAACATTAGGGAACTGTTGTATATTTTTGGCATATCCACAGACCTAGTCATAAAACTGCCAACACTTTATCACTCCAACAAGCCGTTCTTAATGCTTGCAGCTTAATCTAACCGGGGGCCGGGCCAAACATCTTTCTTTGAACCGCAGCTCACTGTTTATTTCAAACTGCCTGCCGGAGATCCCTCACAGATTTTCATTTGGAGCAACCCGGGCAATCGTCGCTGACTGTCAACAACCAAGACCCAGTCAAAATCAGGCATCTCGCATCACGCAGGGCTTCGACTGGAGTCAGTCCGGAATAATCTTGGCAGTAGCAATATTTCCAGACACGCCTGAGAGAAGAATACTGAATTTGGGTGGTGCCAACTAGCAAGTCTCCCCCTGGCCTGAATCTAAAACTGCCCTGGAGATTTAGTTATACCTAATCCAATACCAAGCAAGTAATAATTCTAATCTAATCAAATTAATATCCAGGAAAAGTGTTTATTCAAGGTGTCAGTCAGAAACAAAACCACATCCTTTGGAGTTAATTTACAGCACTAAAGATACACACCCTCACACAGCTCACAAACCCTCATCTGCCGCTTAGATGGTAAAAGATGTTAAAAGGCTTCTCTCGTCAACAGATTACAGATAATAATAAAAGTAATAACGGGTCCTGGGAAGTGAGACTTAACCACAGCAGAGGGAAGCATATGAGTCTGAGAATGTGGTGTCATAAACTGTTTGAGACACGTGTTGGACTGAAAAAAAAGAAGGTTTGTGCTGTCTGGAGCGTGAGGAGCAATATGTGCTACTCATCGCTCTGATGGATTCAGTTTGATCTCTGCATGACACTTAATTCATTCAGGGAAGGAAAACAGAAAACAAGTCCCACTTTTGTCAACTATCTGCTTGCCAAAGGGGGCTGGTGGAATTAAAGACGGAGTTAAAGACGTAAAAGCTATAAAAGAGACATGTCAACTGCAAATCTTTTCTGTCCTCAGAGGGGGAGGGCCTCAAATTACTGACGCTGCAGAGCGTAATCATGTATATGGTGAGTGACCCAAATCCTTCTGTCCTCATTAGCATGGCACATGACAAACTCCGGCAGCATTTATGGTCATTACGCACATACACATGAGTATGTACAGTGAGCTGTAAAAAAGAAAATCTAAATCTATCACACAAACAACAGTTCTTCCTTCCAAGTATGTGAGATTTTAATCACACCACATCTGTTTTTGTGGCCAGCCACGGCATTATATGAATTCTGGTTCACAGAAATTGGGGTGAGCTTGGCATTGGCTTAAAGCTCCTCGTGTGGGGAAAGAAGAATTATTTCAAATCTGACAGTAAGACCAGCACGGAGGCTCCGAGGCTGGGACGTGCTGCGCGTCGGCCTCAGCACCATCTTTGGTTGCGTGAGGTCAGAAAAATGCTTACAACAACACCAGCGGCACGGTCCAATTGAGAGCTTAGAACTGTCAGGTACTCCTTCCATTATGTGCCCACAGAGCCAGACACACAAAGAACGATGGCTTTGAGGGCAAATACCTCGAAACCCCTTCTATAAACAATCCTAATACCCATAAAGGTTTTACATAAACTAAGAGAAGCATAATCTCAAAAAGAGGAAGAAAGATGAGCCATTCAGCAGAAACACTGAAGCCAGCCCGCCAGGAAAAACAAAAAAGAATGATGAGAAAATAAACAAAATGTTATCTTTGCTTTGCTTGTTAAATGTTTACAAGACACCCACCACTGTGACTCAGACCGCAGTAACGAAAGGCAGCAGTGCTGAAGAAGAGGGAGGGAAAAAAAAAGAGATGAAAACAAACTGAGAAAGAGTGGACTCACCCCGTCTCTGCCTTCTCGCCTTGGAGAGCTTGAGAGCGTCGCTGTGACCCATGGAGCTGAGGAAGACCATTGCCAGCGCCACCAGTCCCAGCTGCATAGTCTCTGTTGCCTTCCCGGCCACGCAGGGTCCCCCCCTGCAACCAGATGGATCAGGTGGGGGGGCCCCCTTCCTCTGTGGGACAGGTGGATCCCTCTGCTGCTGGGATAGATGATCCCTCCTCTCTACTGTGGTTCTGCTCTCTCTGTCTGTCTCTCCCTATCCCCCCCTCCACGCCTCTGGCTCTCTGTATCTTTCACTCTAGTGGCTGCTGCGTCCGCAAGTCTGTGTCGTGGAGGGTGATGCTCCAAACAAGCCCGAGGCACAACAAACCATCACACTTCTGGTAGTGCTGATGATGGGAGCCGACAGAGCGGGGCTGCAGGACGGAGGGGGGGCACTTGAGAGGCTGTCAAGAGCATGAAGAGGAGGAGAGAACGCAGAGGAGAGTGTGGAAATCCTGCTGGTTCAACCCATGAACCCTGGGGTGGACTGGCAGGGAAGCAGGAAACCTGCTGTTTGAGGAGTGCTCGCTGTCAGTAAAGAGCTGGAGATCACGAGAGCACGTCTCACTTAGAGATGATGTAAGGATGCAATAAAGAGAAAACGTGCAGATTGAAGAATGATGGATGCAGGATCTTGATTATGACTGACAACACATCTGCTTGCACCAGGACCTGCTGAGAAGAGAAGACAGAAAGATGGAAAACAGGTTTAGGAAAAAGCTTTTTGCTGGCACAGATAAACCAACATTAAAGAAATAGTTGTACATATTTTTGGTAATATGCCAGATTTACTATCTTGCTGAGAATTTAGATGAGAAGATCAATACCTCTGTCTTTGTGTCCAAGGTATCAGTGGATCAACACTAATTGGCAACAATTTAAAGTTTCCCATTTTAAGGAAGAGGGGAAAAAAAAGATTTGCTGGAAGACTATAATTGTTTCTGATAGTTGATTATTGTTGACAGAACTGGGCTTCATTTCCAACTATTTCCTGACATTTAATACACTAATTGATGACTAAATGAATTAACTATAAAAACTATAAATAACAAAATAATTGGTGGTCACAGTTTGACAGTTCTCCTGCTACTTTCATCATGTTTTCTATGTTTTAATGACTTTAAAAGAAATTAAAAAAAATATTTAATAAAACCTAAAAACAAATTCATGTCTAGATTTTGTCAAAGGTTCTGTCTATAAGTTTGGGGCCATGAAATGAATCCGTCATAGTTATCTGTCATGTTATTCTGCTTAACCACTACTCTATTACTGCAAATGTCTAACAAATGAACAAATTAATCAAATCACTGTTTGTAGACAAAAATTTAATAGACTAGGGGATTTTCAGGGCGCATGGGTGCCTGTGGGCAGCCGCTCACTTTGCCCGGTTAGTAATTCAACCTTGGGCTCCATCCAGACTCATTGGTTTTCATTTTAAAACAGCATTTATAAAAGAAGAAAATACCTTGTAACTATAAATAAAAATGATCTAGATGAGCGTTTTAGTTTTGCGTCAGAAATAAATTCCGTACACTAAAAGACCTGAAAACACATCACTTGAGGACTAGTGTGCATCGGCTGCACGTGTCGGTGTAACCAGGAGGCAGATTGTCTATTTTCAGGCGGTTGCAGAAAATGAACTGATGATAAGTTGGAACTGTTGTTAATGGGAAGTATTAGCAACACTTGTAATTCATTATCCATGTGGTAATTGAGACGTGACTGATAAGACACACTCAGGAAGCGAACGTGAGCATCTACGTCAAAAGTCTGATTCTGTCTGACACAAACACAAACCCGTGAGTTTTCAGATTAAACGTGACCAGCAGCATTGAGAAGAAACAACAGTTTTTCCCTTATTTTGTTTTCCTTTAATACAATTTTTTTAGATATAGAATAACGTCATTCTCCATTAAATTCTAACCCAGTGCAACTATTACATTGTTTGACCGAAACAGCAGTCATTCAAGACTGACATATAATTTGCCTTTTCGACATCAGAGATCTCAGTAATTCGATGAGCTATAAACTCATGACTGGCTCATTCAAATCAGCAGTCATGGATCAAAGATAAACCAAAATATTTTTGGGTGGTGACATTTCTTGTCTATTTGTACTTGGATAAATTGAGCGTGTTTATAGTTTGAACAGAACAGTGCTGTCGGAGTAAAGGCTCTTGTCATATTTAGTGCTGAGATCTCTTTCAGATAGTGTCACACGCCGCCTGTATTTACAGCTCTGGTGTGAAGAGGATACACAGAACATGTTAGGTTGAGAGCAATGGGAGGTCCTCCCTCACAGCTCAATAAAGAAAAATAGGACCATATTTGGTTGTTGAGTTGTTGTGGCTCTGAATCACACTAAGGACAATGCCATTTGGTGCGTCTAAACATTCCAGCAGGCAACATTGTATTCTTTGTTCATAAATAAATCAATAGGGACAAAATAATATCAGAGTTACACTAAGCTTGGTGCCAGAAACACCATGTTCTCTCGTTTTATATCAAACTTACACAAATGGGTATAAAGAATCTAGATAGATTTGAATTCCTATAATAACTCCACACCCTGTGATGGGTTACAGCGTTTTTGAGGATGGAAATTGACACAAAGGTCTTATTCTTACAAAATAAGCTAAATTAAGTTAAGCAGAATCACTGATAAATGAGGGCATCTGTCACAGCCTGTTGTTGTGGAATGAGTCAGGGAAATGACACAAACCCACATACATGCACACAACCATGTGGGATTTGTCAAGTCTCACATGAAGGAAAAACAAGGTAATTCCATAACACTGTTCTCCACTTTTAAATTGTGTTTAACAAAGCAGAGGAGTTCTTCTAACCTCTCCTCACTGGGAAACAGACGTCAGACTCTTCCCGACCTTATTTACTTCTTAGCGCTTAATGACTCACAATGTCACTGACACCTCTCGGCTAAAGTCATATTTACAGGAACGAGCCAAACGAGTGGCGCAGCCAGTCGTCGGCAGCACCTGTATGTAACTTGAGAGAGCACGATGACTAACTTTTGGGACGCGCTGAGTTTTTGGATCATCCAGAACACAACACTCTTCAGCTCTCAGGATCGGTGCCAGAGACTTTCGTAACCCAGCACTCCCATGACTGTGCAACCTGCCAAAAGCCCACCTCGGCCCATCCATTTATCTGCTGTCACACATGGAGATAAGAGTCAGGAGAAACTAGAGGAAATAGATCTCTTTGCTCTTCTGCTTTGCGAGAACCTTTTGTAAACATGTCACATAACGAACACTCGTCCCATCATGCAACTGTGGCACTTGAAAAGTCGTGCTTTGAACCGTGGGCCTTTCCTCACCGTCGGCCACATTCAGCCAGAGCCCAATGAAACCAAGCCGCGCTCATGAAATAGTCAGGAGATTAAATTGCCTCCTTTGTAAGTGCTAAGTTTGATCTATCAATTATTCAGGCGCTGAAAGGGAGCTCCCACACTGGGAATCTATCGAACTTGAGAAGGTGCCAGAAACTCTGAGCTCCGAGTCACAGTCATGCAACCTGTCGATGAACTCTGCCCGTGACTAAAGCTGATGGCTTCTCTTAAGAGCCGAACGAAGATCATCACCATGCGTAACTTGTGCCAAAATGCCACAGTCACACGCAAGCTCACTGAGTGGGTTATGAATGGAAAAATAATATCGGCGTTTGTAAAATGCAACAAGTCTGAGTCACAGAGAGGTATTGTGAGTTCATAAGTCATAACGTCCCTCACATTATAAAAAATATTATTTTTAAGGGAATTGGAAACCAGAATAACTTAAATCACTTACTTAAATCTGGGCTGTTAAATGAGCACATTGTGCTCCCGAAAAATTTGGCCGCTCTAGTGGAGGGAACAAAGCAATGGAAATAAAAATTTATGGGTGATCTCATTCAGTTATAGAGCACATTCATGGTCGTCTTATTTTGATATGCACAACCCATGTTGGTACGGCCAAACCGTGAGCCTTGTTGGTGCTATAGCCAATCTAGACCACAAGGAAAAACAAAGACAGGAAGAAGATTATGCAACAGAAAACTAAAAATAGATAAATAGGGGTTTGAGTGAAGCTATTGTTAGAAAAATAGAGTCGTCATCATCCTTATGTCTGCATCCAAGCTCTCAACAACTATTACTCTAAATCTGTAAGTGGTCCATGCACTTCAGAGTGTGGAGAGGCAGCACCAGCAGCCACAGAGGCCTCGCTCATTTTAGTGATCACTTCCTCTGCTTAAAGAGGGAGTGAGAGGTTGAATCTGCAGCAGCTGAAACATACCGAGCAGAGATCAGCATCACTGACTGTATCCTCACAGCTCTGTTAGGCACACATCAGCTCTGCCATCAGAGTCTGTGTGGCACACAATGCCGGATTACAGATGTTTGCAGTGCGTTAAGGAAAAATCTCCACCTGCCTTGGACTGCTGTCACTCTCCCTGCATGCATTTCACCTTGAAGCCGAGGACAATGACTGTTCAGAAGATGAAATGTGTGTGTGCATGTGTTTATGGATAGATGTTGTAAAATGTAATCCAGGTGAAAGAGAATGTCAAACTTTCACAATCCAAATAGTTTTTGTCAGTGCAATGATATGGTTAAATAATGAAGATTCTGGGTTCATGTGAATGGAAAAAGTTTAAAGTTTCAGTTTTTTAAAAGTTTGAATTAATTGCAAAATAAAATCATTTTTGATCCCAGACATACATATGTAATAATACTTATTATAATAACAACAACAATAATAATAATATCACTGTATTAGATAAAGGTTTTTGATTTCTAATGCACAATAAAGTAACTTAGACTCCTCAGATCCTGACAGCAAAGTTTAAATATTGGTTCATGAGAACTGCTCCAGACCAAATAACCAAACCAGTGAATGAGTTTATCTAAAATCAAACAATGTTCAATCAATGAATGAAAAGATGAAAAAAAGAACCCACCTGTACATCGAGATCTCAGTGTGAGCTTCTTCATTGAACGGTCGCGATTCAATTTCCTTTTTTATAAGGGAAAAATCCGTTAGTTGTTTGGTCAGAAAAAAAAACTCCTCCTACATGACCCCCCCCCCATGCAACTTCTGTCTGTCATCATTTAACAAGACGTGTGATTTCATTCCTCTCACATGTCCCTGTGTCGAGGCAGCTCCCTGTCAGACTGTGGAGAGGATGCACAAGAAAAGAAATCTGCAAGTGATTAAATAATTACAACAACAACAAAAAAAAAACCCAAACAAAAGATTTTGAACATAAAAATATATTGGTTATGTCCCGATGAAATGAGTCAGAATGACGTTTTTTCACGTGTTTGCGGCGAGTTGCGCTTTTTAAAATCCACTTTGTGCGTCGAGCTGCATCCAACTAACGCAAGTGGAGTCAGAGCCGTGATATTTGCATCCAGACTCCAGAAACTGCCAGCGGGCACATCAGGCCCCACCCCCCCGACTCTCACTGAGAGATGAAAAACCTGCGCTGGACTTTGAGTCGAGTATCACCGATAAACCACAGACGTGTACGTTCACATTTAATGTCACGTTTGATGTCATTCAGTAAGTTGTTCTTTGTCTTTGGGGGCTTCAGACTAAATATAACACAGGCAGAACATCGAGTAAAGTCATACATCATCTTAAAATTCCAATGTGTCACAGTAGCCTTTAAATAATCTTCAGCATCTGTCAGTGAGTTCAATTTAAACAGTTTCATCCAATTTAGATATCAGCAGGTAGATAATAATAATAATGATAACAATAATAATAATAAAAATAATAATTAAAGAATAATAATAAGTTGAATAAGGGTGGAGCTGCGGTTGCGAGATCCCCGCTGACCAATCATGACTCAGTCCAAGCTGTCAATCATCATGTTTTACAGCATCATATATCAAATTAAAACCAAACCTATCAGAAACATGAGCAGTTGAACAAACATGTCAGAACTGACAGAAAAAAAAGTATTTGAGAAAATAAATCCACTAACATGGAGGAGGCAGGATTTAAGACCGATACTGCAGCCGACCACCAGGTGGCGATTGAGACGCTTTGGCTTCACTTTTGGGCGTCGTGTCATCTACGGTGTAAACTCACAGACTCTGGGTCACTGAGTTATTAGTTCTTTAGCCTGGTGGGTTTTTGGATGATTTAATTTCTGGCATTTCAGGCACAGACTGTTTTTAACCCTCTGTGGCCGTTTAACAGTGATTTGAGAACCCATCATCATTACGTGAATAGACAGTTCAACTGAATATGTTGTATTTACACTTTTATATAACGGAGATTTTACATCTTGAGATCGATATATTATTGTATTGCTGTTGATTTAATTCTGTGACACTGAAATCATGTATTGATAATAATAATTATTATAATAATCCCAGTCCCTCAGCGTGGCTTTTCGTGTTAACAGGTAATTAATATAGATCTGCACATACAATAAGTATTAAATATCAGAGCAGTCTCCATTTCCTTGTTATCCAACAGGGGGCCATAAACAACAATTCCTGGAGATCATACAGAACCAGCATTCCTTGTTTTGAGACTGTGACATTTATCAACAGTCTCACGATGAGAGCCACTACTGGATAAACACCAGCCCCATTCAGCTACACTTATCCTGCTGAAGGATTTATCATGAGAATTAAGTTACAGTGCGGCCCTGTTTGTTTTTCTGCACAGTCGCCAAGAAATAAACAGAGCCAGAAGCCTGAAAACAACACATCATCACCTCTTCTTTACGACGGCCTGTGATGCGGTTTGACGTCTGCCACGAAGGAAAAACAGAGATGATACTGTATCTTAAAATGTAAACTGACTTAGTGGAGCATGCAGGCGGTTTGGGTCAGTTTGAGTTTGATCTATGTTGTATTTGCTCATTATTTTGGGGGGTTTATACCTGGAGATGTTATTCTACCAGCTAACTGGTACATTCTGACCTACATTCATCTGTGATCTGTGCAGGAACTTTCGAAGTAATGAATGCAAAAACTCCACTGTAGGAATCTCGGGATACATGACGTGTAATGCGGCTATTTTACATTAAGAGGGTAAATGACAAGTGGCTTTTCAGAAGTGGCCAGCTGGACTTATTCTTTAAGCATTTTTGAGTCACTTTGACACACTGTCAAGTCATGAGGACATCCACCGCCTGCCAACACACAGCCCAGGGGAGCCCTAAAACAGAGCCAGACAGTCTTTTTCTATCAGATGCTTATGCATGCAAATGTTGCAAAGTCGACTTTATTGAGGTCATAATTTCTGTCATAGCCCAAAAGCCAAGGGTAGTTATGGGCAGCGTAATGCCTCCAGGATAGACTGCAGTGCAGCCAGTTTAAGGAGAGACCTGGGGATTACTGATGACTAATGATAGGTTTATGACTCCAACATTGTGACTGTGAAGAACAGCGAGAATGTCAGACAAAAAGATCTGCAGCTTTCTTCATAACCCACGACCCAAACTGAAAATAATACTGAATTTTTAACTTTGAAAAATACAGCATGACAGGTCTGGTTTTCACCTCCAAGCCTGCGTATGGGAAAGGAAATCTTAAATGGGATCAGACAAGATCCTCTGTCTGTCTTAAGGAAAAGATAATGGTGCCGTATTTTTTTTAAACATAAAACATCTTTATTCTGCTTCTGAAACTCTGGTAAAGTCATGAGTTTATCCTCAGAATAAGAGACTTGTTCCTCACTGAAACACCTGGTCTTTCACTTGTCTTATTTTCAGTGAACATCTTTATATATTAAAGCTCCATTTTCACTGACTCTGCATCTTGTCAAAACCTTTAATGGATATTATTCATTGCTATTTACAGCTTGTTTTATTGGTTATAGATAATTTGGGGATAAATCTAACTGAAAAGATTAAAATCATGTTTGTATGAGGAATTTCTTTGAGGCTCACAGGGGGTTGGAGCCAATCCCAGCTGACATTGAGGTGAAAGGCGGGCTACACCCCGGACAGGTCCCCCGGTATCGTAGGGCCAACGTGCAAAGACAACACCCATTCACACCGACGCACAATTGAAAGCCTCTAGTTATCCTGACCTGTTTTGGACAGTGGGCACAAAGTGAACTGGAGCATCTCTGTTGATTCTTTCCTTATGTTTTAATGTCTGGTGTTTCTTTTGGTTGATTTTTAAACAACTGTACTGTTGTGAAGCATCTGGTGACTTTGATAAGTGAAGGGTGCTACACTAAATAGACTTTACTTAAATCTCACAAAAGCGAATCATCTCCGCCAGAGCGGTTATGTTTCCGCACCTATCTGCTGGTTGGTTTGTTTGTATGTCAGCAGGATTGGGCAAAAACTACACAGCAAATCCAACACATTCAAATGGGCTTTCACATGGTGACTGTTGGGCCTTGGTGGAGGTATCGCGCTTTTGTCTTTATTTACCATTCTAGTTCTCATTTTGGAGGCTGGAGCTTGGTGGAAAGTAAAACCAGTGCACAACCACCAAATTAGACTAATTCTTTAATCTAACCCCCCAATATGATGTTGACTGCGATAAATTTGACTGATTTAATTGTAAATTACTTGAGGACTGAGCCGATGTTTGTCACAGTTTTCCATGGAACAGATTTTTACATTTATGTGTGTTGGTATTCTTGGAAATTGTTAAAAACTGCATGAAATCCCAAAATGTTTAAAGATCTTACAACAAAACCAACTAATCTGACGAACCCACATAATGATTTTATCACTAAAGGGGGTTGTAAAGAGCCTGAGAACTAATAAAACAAAAGCTGAGATAGAACTCAAGAGGACAATGACGAGGTTCAATAGAAAAACAAGTTTTTGTCTGTCTCCAGGCTTATGTGACCACTTTATTTTACTGGGAGAAGTATTGATATAATGACAGGCTACAGAACAATTTGATTATGTATAATAAGAGGAATGATTACTCCTGTGTGACTCTATTGTAACTAAACAAAGAGGCACATCCTGATGTCTCTGCTGTTTTCCAGTACGAGCCCCCACTTTTTCACGACCTGGACAAAATGTGGAGACCACATATGACTCATTGAAGTGAAATAAATCAAAAACAAAATCAGACATGCAGTCACTTGTGTGCAGTACATGGATGTGGGAATGTGTCGGAAAACAACTCAACCAAGGCACCCGTATGCACAGATGTCCCCCCCACTCCTTTGGCAACCCAACAGCAAATAGGCCTGTGGAGCCGACACAGGTGTTATATCAGTCCTCTGCTCAGTTTTAGTGAATTGTAGACACAACAATCCACCCAGGACAAAGAATCGCAATTTCATTTCAAGGTTTCATGTTTTTAGACTTTAAGATTGGTCACACATCTTCAGGGATGCTAAGATCAATTGAAAATGTGCATGTACCTACACTTCATCTGCGCACTTGTGGGTGTTCTCTCAATCTTGTGCTCATAAAATATTTATTATAGTATATGTTTACATTAAGGTTGCAGTATAATTAGAATTAGAATGGAACCAGTATCCCAGGTTGACCGAGGTCTTTCTGGGTGGAGTTTGCATGTTTTCCTGGGTCCTGCCTGAGTCTTCTCCTGTAATTCCAGCTTCCTCCCACAGTCCAAAGACATGCAGGTTGAGGCTGCGTTATTTTGGAGACTCGAAGACTGTGCAACTTGTCGGGGTGTACCAAGCCTCTCACCCAATGTCAGCAGGGATTGGCTCCTGTCTGCTTCTGCAAACCTGAAAGGATACATGGTAGTGTATGGATTCGTTATTCAGTTTGCAGATGGTGTGTCTTGTGAGCTCATCACAGCTCATCTCTTTTACCAAGGGAGAAACTTTTGTGCTCCAAATATTTTTATGAGAAGAGGAACTGTGAACAAGATACCAGTTCCTCCAGATGAACCCCCATTTCTCTTTGGATAAACTTAAATTATTCCTGCATTACTTCATAATTCATACAGGAGAAGGTATCCTTTTGTTTTATTGATTTTAAATTGATTTTTGCGTTTTATTTATCTGTTTATTTTTTGCAGGTACAATGTGACACAGCAGAGAGAGAAGAAAGCACCTAACCTGTCAAAGTAATATCAATATTCACAGAAGCATATATGAAACAAATATCTGGGGTAAAGAGGAAGAAACATCTCTCTTCATTCAGAAAGAAAGAAAAGAATGAAAGAAATCCTGTGTCTCAATCATGATTTTGAAATGTATAAAAAATTGTGTAATATTTGTATTGTAGTGTTTAGTTATGCTCAATTGAACTTTGATCTTTT